TGATGTAATGTCCCCTTTATAAATCCTTTAGGAATTGTCCCCGAGTCCTTGATCCAGCACTTAATGCTCATGACGGAATTTATTTGCAGGTGCTTTTATCAGAATAACCTTTGTTTTCTGAACGGGTCCAGCTCGGATCTGGAACCCCTGACATTCATACATAATAAACACACAGCCTAAGTGTGACGGTTTTGTTTTAAACAAAATCCCGGTGGCAGCGGCTGCAGTCTCAGAGACATTGCCGCCACCTTTGTCTGGACTCCCTTGCTGCCACGCAGGTGACGAGATCCTCATGGCAGCACGCAGTGCCAGCGGAAGGCCAGATCAACGGGGAAAGAAAAGGTTCTTCAAAGCTCAGAAGCTGTTATTTAGAATAAAAGGCAATTTTCCTGACATAACTATGTTGAAAAGCACTCCTCTTGCCCCATTTTCTAAAGCAAGATTTTAAAAATCGATCATTTTCAGAGTTTGGGAAGTTCAGCTCTGAAGTTTATTTAATAACTATTTAATGAAAATATAATCACACCACATTTCCTGCTTTTATGATTCATTAAAGCCAAAGCCCTCTGAGCCCCTTTCAAACTTGGTCCCTTCCTCACCCACGCATGCCCCGGAAGGTTCCGGGTCCCACTGGCTCACGCGAGGTCACAGCAGCTTCATTTTGGAACTCAAGCCTCCTGGTCCAGTTACACATCCCCAGACAGCAAAATCCTATAAATCATCATTTACCCTTTCCCGTAATGGGCTTTGTTTCGGAAGAATAATGGCCCACCCTACACCAGCGCAGATTTTATACTCATATTCAGTTCGACAAGAAACAACTAATGTTAATTATCTTTCTAGCCTGAGAAACATCATTTGTAAACAAGCCGTTTGCACAAACACTATTCTTGGGTCTCATCACTGCAGTGATTCCTGTGGACGCCCTGCTTGTACACCCTGGGCCGGGTTTCTACCTCGGCACCCCTGACATTTTGGACCAGACAGTTCTTCATCGTGGGGGCGGTCCCACGCACGGTCAGATGTTGGGCAGCATCCCTGGCCTCTACTCACTGGATGCCATTTCCTTCAGAGGGAAAAGACGACCGTAATAAACAGTTTTCAACTTTCCCACCCGTATCTGATCCCCACGGCCAGCTAGCAGGCATGAGAACAAAACGCAAAGTCTGGTGCCAGGCAGCACAGCCCCGGATGAGGGTGAGGGATTTGTTCCTCATTATTATTTTTCTTCTTCCATCACTCTGCCTTTCTTTTTCTTCTTCCTTTTTTGTGGGGGTCCAAGGTGGTGCAGGGTATGGGCCAAAACAGGTTTAGTCTGAACTGTTCACTGCAGCTCAATTTAAAATAATTTCTCTTAAACATCTACTCTACACAAGACTTTGTGGAGAAGAAGGGGGCATCTCTACCCTGCACAGCCTGAGACAGACCTGAGTGACTAACTGAACACAAAGCAGATGGATGCTTCCCTTCATCGGAGCTTTCCCACCTCTGGGCGAGCCGTGATTTCCCGTGAACACCCATGTCGCTTTCTCGGTGCCTCTCTGATACTCTTCAGCTGCGCATTGATAGGCATGTATGTGCCATCCTCCTCTGCCTCACTAGGATCCAAGTTATTTGAGGGTAGGATCTATAGTTTGCTCATCTGCATAAACTCCACAGCACTCAGCATGGTGCCGTGCATGCAGTATATGCCACATGAGTGCTGGTGAGTGCATGAAAGAGGTGCTCGGACAGAAACCGTCTGTCTGCTGTACTCACCAAGCATCCAAGGGCAGTCAGTGGTGCTCAATGGAGCACAGCATCTCAGAGGGAAGGGATCATTGCAGTTGATGGCAGCACAGTGAAGCCAAATTCTCAGGGTCTAGTGAATGAGCAAGTGGCCAGTAAGTGAAGCTACCCTTTTAAGAAGTTTGGTGACAAAAGCAAGGGGAGTGACAGGGTAGCAGCTAGAGTGATGGCAAGATAAAGGCTTTTTTGTTTCTAAAAGGGAAAGAGGTCTTCAATTAGACTGCAGACTTGGAAGAAGAAACCAGCAGAGATGAAGCGAGATGGAAAGGGAAGGCTTGCCGGTTCTGGAACAGGCAGCAGGCATGGCATCAGGCACCAGTGAAGCACCTACCTTGGGAAGGAGGAGGGACGATGGAGAGAACAGTTAAGCTAGAAAGGAGGGAGACTGAGGTTGCACTATGTGCCCTAGATTTTCTTGATAAGGTAGGAGGAAGGAACATCTACTTATAGTTCTGGGGGCGAGGGTCTGGGGCTTAAGCAGAGTAGAAAAGCTAATGGGGTGGAAATGAAAGTGAGTGAAAGATAAACGAAAGGACTACTGAGTTGAAGAGGACAGCTGTGAGTTTGGAGGAATCAATCAGCCTGATACTACGAGTTTGTACAACAACACTTAGAAGGTCAGAAGAACAGGAAGAAAACAAATGGTGGTGTGTTATTCTCCTAGGGGTGCTGTAACTGAGTCCCCAAAGTGGGTGTTTCAAAGAACAGAAGAGTCCTGGAGGCTAGAAGTCCAAAATCCAAGTGTCAGCCGGATCACGCTCTCTCTGATGGCTGTAAGGGACAACCTTCCCTTGCCTCTTCCAGCTTCTGGTGTTGGCTGGCATTCCTTGGCTTGTATACGCACCACTCCAGTCACATGGCCGTCTTCTCCCCATGTGTCTTCACATTGTCTTTCCTCTCTGTGTGTCTGTGCCCAAATTTCCCTTTTATAGGGATACCAGTTCTATTGGATTAGAGCCCACCCTAATGACCTCATTTTAATTTGATTACCTCTGTAGAGACTCTATCTCCAACTAAGGTCAGATTCTAAGGTACTGGGGGTTAGGGCTTCAACATTTGGGGGACACAATTCAACCCATAGCAGGTGGCTCTAAGGATGTAGATTCAAGGGTGGCAAGTGGCCTGGATAAAGGGAATGAGAGGGAATTAAAGATGCTCAAGAAGCATCAGTGGGATGGCGAACCATGGGGCCCAGCTGGCAGCAAGGTGAGTAGCATCTGAATCCTGGAGATCCAGGGTTTGAGCGACAAGGGAAAGGCTAATTTTGCAGGCAGAAGTAACAGGGAAAAGCTGGTTCAGCAGGAGTCATGGGTTGAGAGAAAGGGAAGACTGGGAGAACGGGACTTCAGGCTCTAAGACCTTGGAATGGTGATATGAGGCTAGAGGTCTGGGTGTGACTATTAAGTAGGAGTAGGTAGGTAGGTCAGCAGGAAGGAAGGTCACCTGTTACAGCTCAGGTCAGCACCAGAGGCCAGGGTACCCAGGGCAGGTTCTCCATCCATGTGGAAGAGATACAGAGGGTAGTAATGGGGAGAGACAGAGGACAACTGCAATCAGATGTCACCACCATCCAGGAAGGGGGAGGGAAGTCTACAGCCCAGGAGATCAGAGGGAGGGGCAAGACCCCCAATGGGGGAGCTGGGCGATGGGGCACGTGTGGAGGGCATCTGGCAGCAGGAAGATCCCCGCTGGGCAGCAGCACAGGGGGAAGCGGTCTCTTGGTAAGGACTGGAAGCCAAGTGTCACAGGGACAGATGGGGAGCAAACACGATGGCAAATCACGAGCTGAAGTATTACCAGATGCTTCACGTGTGACGGTCAGTCAATTACAGAGCAAAAGGTGCCTTCTGACTTATCTTGAACCTTCCTGCTGTCACGAGGGAGGGGCTGAAGAAGCCCTGCCCGTGCTAAACCACCTGTCGGAGATGACTCTGGGTCGTCACCCTCCGCCCAGCTAAGACCCGGCCTTGCCGGTCCACAGGGCCCTGTGCGGGGACACGCGGAGGCAACGCGCAGGGTGCGGAGCAGCACGCGCCCACCGCAGACACGGGGCTCAGCTGCCGCTTCCCCGCCCACCAACAAGGACAGTACCTCCCTCGTGGGGTCCGCGAGCAGTGGGCACACAGCAAGGCCTCAACGGTGGCTGTGGGGCGGCTGTTATAAATGCCACAGTCTAACGGAGAAGGAGGGTTGCAAACACGCTGCTCAAAATCATAGTAACTATAACCATGGTGACATTCCCCATCTGCCCCTCCCTTCCCCAGAGATAAAGAATACACAAAATCATCCCAGGACATTTATTTCCACGGGTTCTTGATAAAGAGCACAATCCCGGATAAAAGTACCCCCTTGTCCTGAAAGGCAAAACCACATAGCGACCAGAGCTGCCCAACGCACCCCACCCCACCAGAAACTTCAGATAGGACCCTTCCACCTCCTGCCTGTTTGACAGCTACTCACGTCTCCCACGCACGGCGGGCCCAGCCCACCTCTCACCCTCTCCAGCTTCTCTAACTGAAACATGCCTTCACAAGCTGGACGTGTGTGCGTGTACACAGGAGGCTCTCCGCACCCACCTGACGAAGGAGCTGAGACAGTGCTAAGACGTGATGGAGAAGCTGAGACAAGGAGGCCTCAGAGCTAGGGCCGGCTTTCTCCTCCTAAGCCCTGACGTCCTACACAAGCCACCGTGGGTCCTGAAATGGGAACACCAGTGGGTCTTGTGTTTGCTCTGGTGCTGAACTCCCCCAGTTCAGGTCTGGGAGGGTGGGACCCAGTGGGAGGAGAGGGGATGTGTGGGGCTGAGTGCCTGCATCAGAGAGGGGACCAAGGGTGACAAGAGCTCAGGACACACATTCCCCTCGGCTGGGGAGAGAGCCCATTCAAAAGCCTGCGCTCGAGACCTGATTCTTCAACCCCCCACCATGGCGAGGTGTCAGGACTCCCAATGTTCACAACTGATTGCTGTGCCTGGGACACCCACCATCAGCCTCGAGAGCCCCTGATTTCAGGTCTTCAGCTGGTGGCTTCAGTGTGACCACCTGCACAGTCCCACAGCCCTTCCTGGCACCTGGATGGGCAGTCATAGTGTCTCAACGTGTAGAACACCAAGGCTTTTGAAGCACAAGTGGCCGGCTTCAGGAGAAGGAGACAGCTGGAGGGACTGAGGCTGTGACGGGTCTAGTGAAGTCCTGGGCGAGCTGGGGCCTGCAGGGCCCCGTCAGGCAGACGCCTTGGCTGCTCTCCAAGCCTGGTGCTCCTGCTTCGCCCTCTCCCTCTGCTCCCGTTCCCTCTGAACCAGGCATCCCCACTCCAGACGCCACTGCTGCAGCTTCTGCTCATAGGTGGCGATGTCCTCTGCTTCACAGCTGGGGAGCTGCTCGTGGACAAGCTGGGTGGTCAGAGTCAAAAGGCTTCCCGACTCAACTCTGCCCAGAGCCTGAAGCTGAGAATGTGCGGCCTGTTGGGAACAAAGAAAAAAGAGAGAAGGGGGCAGGTGGGTGAGGAATACGGAGAAGAGACGAGGTCACTCCGGTGCCCACTCGGCCTGCAGGCAAGGCGCTTTGTCGGAACCTGTCAGCTGCCATTCACCCAGGCACTGCTGGCCGTTGCTCTTTTTTTCAGCCCAGCAATCTTGCTAAGACGCACCACGTGTGATTTCTCCCTCTCACTCACAAACAGGGACTGGAACTCCACACGCTGAGACTTCCCGTTTTAAACCACCAAGACGGCACCAGTACAACAGACCTACATCCCCTCTGACCTGCAGCAAACCAAGTGGCAAACTCAGGAACAGAGAGCCCTCAGATGCACACAACACGACAGAGCAGCGGACAGGTGCACGGAGCACGCCCTCCACAGCTCTTCCTTCAGAGTAACTGAGATCAGTGTCCGCCTGACTGGCAGTCCTTTCAACAGACGGAAATCATTCCAAGGACGTGTTACTAACTGCATGCGAACAGCTCCCGGGAGCGCCTGCACTGTTACAGGCGTCCACCTGCTGGGCGCCACGGCAGGTCAGCCTCTACATGCTGACGGCTCACAGCTGCATCCGAAACGGCACCTTGGTTTGGTCGTATTGTATTCCTGGAGAAGCTAAGTGCTAAAAACACTAATCTACTTAAGTGCTTCAAGACGTAGATCATCAGAGAGCCACTTACGGCCCCACTGTAGCTTCCACCACACGGCCCCACGGGCCACAAACAGGAATTCACCAGCACAGCGATGAGGCCTGCTCCAGCTGGGGGCGGGAGGTGGGCAGGGTCCATGGGCTTCAAGTAGTGGCCAGAGGCCCACTATGAGGGGTCAGTCACAAAAAAATGGGCCCCAAACATTACCTGAGACTAATAAAAATCAGGCAACAGGAAAAATAGGAAACATAAAATGAAAATGATTTCTCTGTCATATCACTTTCCATGTGGTCTGAGGCCAAGGAGACAGCCTGGGACACCAGAATAAGGACTCAACTGAGGCAGCAAACTTGCTCAAATCCCAAGTCAGTCACTTGTGTGCTCGTTTCTCTCAGCCTGGTGTCATGTGACGTGAAGGGCAGCACCCACCAGCAGCGCTCCGGGAGGATAAGGACACGCAGTGGTGCCTCCCACAGCTAGCTGCCAGTAACTATGTCTTTGTTTTTTTTTTTTTTTTAAAAGATTTTATTTATTTTTTCCCCCCAAAGCCCCAGTAGATAGTTGTGTCATAGCTGCACATCCTTCTAGTTGCTGTATGTGGGACTCGGCCTCAGGATGGACGGAGAAGTGGTGCCTCGGTGCGCGCCCGGCATCCGAACCCGGGCCACCAGCATCGGAGCGCGTGCACTTAACCACCAAGCCACGGGGCCGGCCCTGTTTTTTTTTTTTTTGATTTTCAAAAAAACGCATTTGTGGAAGAGTGAGGGCTGAGAATCTAATGCAGGCTCAGATTTCTATTCTCCGAGATTAAATTTATAAGAAACAAGAGACAGAGGTGGTAAATTCCAGGAGTGGTGTGGCCGCCTTGGTCAATACGAATATTGTGAATAATAATCTATGGGGCTAAGTAGACTTTTCATTCTCAGCTTTTCTAAGTCTGCAAAATTAAGAGGAAAGAACAGGTGTGTAAATTCCTAAACTAGCTGCCCATTCTCTGTGTACCTTGGGAACATCCATTGACCCTTCCTTCTCAGTTCTTAAATCAGAAGTAAGCTGAGCATGACTTGACAGAAGTACTGGGAGGAACACCTGCGAAAAGCACAACAGAGTCCCCCTTATAACATGGGGACATGGTTCTCCCACAGCTGGTTCAATACAATTACTGACAAGATGTAAATGTAATCATCTGGCAAAGCTTATATCCCTCTGTCCCAAAATGACACAATAGGTCAGCTGGGACGGATGGAAAGGTTTTCTGCTTTACATCAAGAATCCTCCTTCAGGCAGCATTTTTTCTCTCTGCACTCAATAGACGAGAAAGAAAGCCACGGTAGAGGGCAAGGGTTTCAGCTCTGAGCACGCCCTCCTTCCTGACTGACCACAGTGTCTGGGACGCACAGTGAGAGCTACACGGTGGCCCGAGTGCTCAGGGCTGTTCCGACAGGGAACAGTGGAAACCTGTTCACATCTTCCATGCAGTACAAGCGAGTGTTCCTAACGGCCCCGGTGCACACCACAGAGCCGAGCGAGAGAAGACACCTGTGTCTGATCTCCACACACTTCATACTCAAATGTGGTTCTGTGATCTCTGCCCGGGGTTTCTGGGTTATCACCCACGTTCAGTGCAATACGGAGAAATGCTCAGCTCTTCTCCCCGGGGTTGGAGTCAGGTGCTTGCTATGAGGAGGCAAGCTCTCACCCAGCCATCAGGCACACGTCAGGGAGGAAAGGGTAATGACATGCTGCCTAGGGAACAAAACTGTGACCGATTAGCTCAAGTACAAAAAGCATAAAAATACCATTTGTTTCTTTTAAGACCACTTCCTGCGTGAAGCCATAAAAATGTAACTTTTGATGTCAGTTTTTAATGCCTGTGTGTGACGCTGATGCATGAAAGGACTGCCTGTCTATCACCATGGCAGAGGAGCATGCCCAATGCACAGCCGAGAGGGACTCAATTCTGCTGCAACTCACCTGAAATCGTTCCAGGTACTGGGGAAGCTTGGACTGTTCCGTTTCCTCCACGTCCATCTGTTCCACCAGCTCTTCTGACCTCTGGCTGTCTTCACCTTCTCGGGGCTGCTCCTCTGAAGACCCGTGGGCCGGAGCGGCCACAGCCGTCAGCGCTCTGTCCAGCACATCGAGCTGCGGAGCAGAAAGAGGGGTGGGGACTAAACATCCTGCGGCCCTGAGCACACTGGGAAGGGCGGTGGAAAAGGGAGAGGAAGGGAAAGTTGGGCTCTACACTCATGAGCAGAGTCCTCCCACCAAATTACAGGACACAGAAACGGCCACATGGCCTTCCATTAGGAACACTGTCAGATGGCATGCAAACTCATCAGAAAACAAACGGCACAAATAAGCGAGCTCAGGGTTCTCTGCAGGAGGGACTCGGCACTGCCCGTGGACTGTGCTTCTCATCGCCCAGGCAGGAACCAAGACCGTGTTCGACAGGCACTGAAGTACCTCCCCTTCCCGCCGTTCCTCCTCAATCGGCTTGGGATTGAGAGAAAGGGAAAGAAAAACCACTAGAGACCACAGCCAACAAAAGGCCATTCGGAATGCAGGGGAAGCCCCTGAGCCCAGGCGAGGCCTCCTGCAGAGCGTAGCTCACGGGGTGGCTGTACGTCAGGGATCAGCACCGGGCACACAAGCTGCTGGCAACCACCCGGCAGGCACACGAGAGCCCCTGCAACGGGACTTCCGTGACTTAGAAAGTAAGTCAATTATAAAACAGACGGCGTCTTTTTGCCTTGAGCCCTCTCCCCCACCACGCTCAGTTTGAGGCACACCTCCCTCAACCCACAGAGATGGGACAGAGACAACCCCAAGGTGAGCACGAGCAGCGGCCTGGGTGCCGGTCATTCCAGCCACGTTGTATTAGAACAAAAACCCAGAAAATACTCCAATGCTTTTTAATTCCACTAAGACATTGGACCCAAACCCAACACATATCCTGTTCCGGCTGACGTCTGAATCACGCTCCTATTAAGTCAGAACGCAGAGAACGCAAATCGGGCTCAGAGGGGAAGGAACACTTCCCCGTAAAGGATTTCTGTACAGCTCTGTTTTTGATCACCAGCACTGACTGCAGGGTTAAAACATGAATATACACTTAAAGATGCGTATGCTTTGTTGCGAAGGTCTGGCAAAGAACACAATGATTCACCAGACACGAGCGTAAGGAGCCAGGAGAGGCACCAGCCTTGTGATCCCGTGACTGAGACGAAAGCCAAGGCCTGAGTCCTAGCGATCAGGCTCAAACGAGTACGCGGCTCCGATCAACACTCACAGCCTGGTGACGACACAGCCAGTGTCCTTCCAGGCCTCACTCTGGCCACAAAAGCTGCGTGGACAGAAGTGAGGCTGGGCTCCCTATGGGGTGAGTCTCGTCACGTGGCTGTAAGATGCCACGCTTGCTGCAGCCCGAGCTAAGTCTAGTAGCTGCACGGTGTCACGAGCCCCAGGTGACTAAGAGTGACGAGCCTGGAGGCTGCGGGAGGACAGTTTCCTAGCCCAGAGGACATGAACGCCCTGGAACCCTGGGAGGAATGTCTGATCCAGCTCCTCAGCATCGTGTGTTCACCACAGAATGGTCCAGTGAAAGGAAAGAAAGCCGGTGCCATCTCCAGTCCCTACATTCATTTCTTGAGGGCTTTTATGGGGGAAAACATTGCCAGGTAGTCTCCCAGGACTACATGAGGGTACAGAAATGCCAAAAATTTAAAATGAAATCTTAGCCTCTCCTGAGCTCCTACTGAGATTTTATGGGGGGGAGGGGGCAGTATTTTATTGAACTCAGTTTGAATTACAGCGGAGGGAAATAGTTTCCTCCTAGACAGTGAGCTATAAACTCAACATGTATCTTATTTTCTACTGCTTTTTGTCAGTAACACCAAGAACGTTGGTGGTTTTTCATTCCTTTTCAACTGGATAAGAACGTGATTGTATAGAAATAGAGAAAGTAGAAGTGAGGGGGGAAGACAATGAAACACACTCAAAGCTGGACTTGTGGGGAAGAGGAGATGGCCAAATCCCACTGAATTAGGGCCCAGGAACATACCGCTTCTCCACATAGTTTTCCGTCTCCTGGGGAGGAGGCCACCTTCTCCATCACTCGAAGGGCTCGGTCGAGGTAGCCTGGCTGCCACAGCAGAGGCATGTTCTGGTACACAGCCCGCAGCCCCTGCTGCAACTCCACCTTCCCTGTGGCCAAAAGGAACAATGAAGAAGGCTCAGCCGTGCCTCCCACTGCGTCTGAGACTGAAGACACGAAGGCACAGTAAACAGGCGCCTGGCAGCTCTAGATGGAGAAGGATCATTTCAAATCTGCACCAAGAGCCTCAACTACCCAGGGACTTGACATCTCAGACAGATGATGAAGAATGTGGTAAAATTCACTGTACATGTTTTTTAATACAAAATTGTGCCAACTTGATTTGCTTGTTCATTTTGACTGCGGGACATCATTGTGAGGATGTATGAGTCATAGGGCCGAGGGAAACTTAGAGAGGTCGCTATCTCTGCCTCTCAGTGGAGCCACCCAACAAAACAAGTCAGACAAGTGAAATACTATTTTTGTTTTAAGATCAAAATGTTCCTCAGAAAAAGAAACTCCACAACTTTCTTAAAGCGGAAATCTTGCCAACATCTGACGACCTTCCCTGCCAGGAAACATTTTGACATTTTTCAAAATGCTTCAAAATACCCCACTGATTGCCCTTATGAAAAAAAAAGTCTTGTTGGCTCTTCTTTCCTTTATTTGAGCTTCATCAGCACTTAAAGCATAAAGTCCTCATCATCCTTTTGGACCCCAGGACACGAGCGTTTCTCTTGGTACCTGAGACCACGACAACTGGCGCTCAGGACGGGGACCAAGGCAGCAGGGCCCTCGCGTGGGGAGAGGCTGTCTCTGCGTTTGCGTCGAACAGAAGACCTCTCTGCACCAACGAGCAAAGTCACCTTGAGTCGCCAGGTCTTAAATCCATGCACCTTCACTTATCTTTCCCGGAAGGAGGATTCGGGAAAGCCGAAGCAGGATAAGCAGACAAAGCCTATCAGGCGACAGCTAATTTTACACATTTAAGATGCTGGTCTAGACTGCAGTCACTTTCCGGGAAGCTGCTCCCACCGGGTGAGAGAGGCTACACACACAGCACAGTCAGAGCAAAGAGCTTTGATCCGACAGCCGCCAGCCCCAAAGCGCAGGCCTCCGCTCAGAAACAACACCACGACATGCGTGTTCTGAGCCTCACAACATCCTGAACAATTCCTGCAGTGGAACAGTCCTGAATGCTCATCTGAAGCAAAGGAAAAACAGGTAAATCCATGTCAAAAGTAGACAGCAAATAAGGAGAAATGATTTTTAAAGAGTGGTCAACTCTTTTGCTAGTCTGACAGTGAGTCTGATAAACTCTGAAATTGCTCTCTGATTGGTTTCTATCAGAATCAGTATCCAAGAATGCCACGCTACATTTTGTTGGTGATGGTCAACTTCAAAAGCAGCCAAACTGCTATAACTTTGACGATTTTCAGAAAACAAAGGTAAGCAGAAGCAACCTATGATCAAGACAAAGTGCTTTCTCACACCTCTCTGCTTGAGAGAGAGAAGGAAGAGGGAAAAACAATATGCATGTGGGAAACCTCTGTCAATCAGGGCACGTTCTCTGCATATTTGGGTTAATCACTACTTGCCCAACTCCACACAACCAGGTCTGAGGCCACTCCTCAGAAGGCTTCACGTCCTGACCTGTCTGATTTTCAGTGCAATGGACACTAAAGTAAGGCTACCATCGCCCTGGAGGGTCCAGTCACATCGTCCCAAAGCATCACTCCCTGCTCTCCCAAAGTGCTACGAGACGCACTCAGAGTTTCTCCTGCTCCCCTGAAAATACTACCAAGGATGTGGGTCCAACCTGACTCTTAACTTCTGACTTCCAGGACTTTAGGTGTAAAGAGACAGAAAGAACTCTGTTAATACTGCGAAAGATTCTATGGGCTGGTTCTCCCAAAAGAGGGTCAGATTTTTCCTTCCTTTTTTTTTCTGCTGAGGAAGATTGTCCCTGAGCTAACATCTGTGCCAATCTTGCTCTGTTTTATATATGGGATGCTGCCACAGCATGGCTTCACAAGCGGTGTGTAGGTCTGCACCGGGGATCTGAACCTGCGAACGCCGGGCCACCGAAGCAGAGCACGCAAACTTAACCACTATCCCACCGGGCCGGCCCCCAGACCTTTTCTTTCTTTATCCCTTCCTCACCCTGATGACTACTAACTATAATCTGTGGCCACCAGAACTGGTTCTCACCTTGCCAGTGGTGACAGGTTTAGAACCCTCTTCCCTGTCTTAGGTCCTAGCTCTAAGGCCACCATAAGGGCTATTTTTACGTCTAAAAGTGAAAGCTATATTGGAATTTCACTAAATTTAAATCAAATTATAACTTTATTATGAAGGAGAAGAAAGCATCGGTTCTACCCGTGAAGAGCTATACCTGAAGGATCACTCAGCTTACCAAGAAGTGCAAGGCCATACAGCTGGGAACTCAGCCCCACTGTGTTCCTTTGCTTGAGGCCTGGGAGTAACAGGGATGCCCCAAAATTCCTCTCATCTTCCCACTGCAAAAGAAAATACCAGATCACAGTCCAGCCAAGCAATGAAGACTTTATCTAAAACTATGATTTTTAATGACAGAGAAGAAAAAGAGCATGTCATAGCATTAAGTAAAAAAAGTAAAATACAAAGCTATAGGTACACTATAATCCAAATTTTGTAAATAAAAGATATTTATGTTTAATGAAAAATACAGAAAAGAAAAACCCCATACGTTACCAGATTTCTGGGTAGTAAAATTATGAACAATTCTGGTTTTCTTCTTTGTACTTTTCATTATTTTCCAAATTTCTGGCAATGAATAAGAGTTCCTTTTACAATCAGAAGAGCAAAACAAAACAAAAGTAAAGAGTGCACTGTGAACCAACATTGCCTTGAGACAATCAGTGAAGCTTATATTGCTGTCAGCCTCACACTCACTCCCATCGCTACGACACCATGGAGCAAGCTTCTGAATTTTAAACAATTCAGCAACGGTAACACTCCTTCTACTTCACAGCATTAAAATAAATACAACTATTAGGTTGCTTTTAGATACGTGCCTCTCAAAAATAAATTAGGCAATCAGAAACACTTAGTGATCATTTCTTTCAACCCAGGGTGCAAAATTACACTTCAATCAAATTAGAGCCTTTTGAGACATGGTAAAGAGGGGCAAAAACACCAGCATTGCTAAGCCTGCTACAGACCCGGAGCAGCAGTGACAGGGACTCGCTGTGACGCAGGGCCCTGAGGACAGCCTTGGCAATCCCCCAACAACGAGAGCTGTGATCTTCTTGGTGCCATGAGTGCACATGGCTGGATCCCTCGTCCAGCTTGGAAACACAGAACACAAAGCTCGGGTGCCTGCACTGGCCTCTGCACTCAGAGGCCAGGGAGGAAGTGGAGAATGAATGGTGGGTGCAGGCTACAGCTGCAGCCAGGTGTACGTGAGGCACCCTAGGTGTTGATGGGCACCCAAACATCTTTACTGTGAATGGGCCTTTGTGCAATCCAAGTGTAATTTCCTACGGTTTTTCTAAACCTTTGAAAAAAGCAAAGACATTGGGAGACAGACAAAGCCTCCCCTGGCGCTTCTGTGTCACAGACGAGTGAAAAAGCCGGCAACTCAGGACGGGGTCACCCACTCTCAAGAGCAAAGCACTCTGAGATTTGGCTTTCCCCCCACATACGCTGTATGAAAAGGGGCCCAGTGAACAATAAATAAGAAGTCTTACAAACATTTTTTCTTTTCTTTAGGGAAAAACATGATCTATAGTATCAGGATGTAACGGGCTAAAAGCCAGATGAGCAGCGTCCTTGCTGAGTGAGGAATTGAGCAGGGGTGGCGGTGGCGCCTGGAACGGCAACACTTCCAGAAGGACTTTAAACAAGATGAACGAAAACAAGCAAACGGATGTCTTAGAGATTTTTTGATGATTGGGAATAGTAAACCACTGCTGCTTACATGAAATCTACTTATGTGTTAACATACTAGGTCTCTTCCAAGCCTTTAGCTTCTACCGTCTGTACTGTTAGGGACTAAATCAGGTGCTATTTCACCAAGGTCCTCATGGTTTTCCCATTTTATGCTTCTGCCTTTCCCATTAATACAAAGCAAACCCTCATCCTCCCTTCCCCCTCCACTCCCCTTCACAGCTTGCCCACACTCGCTGTCTCCTTCCTGCACCTCTCAAACACTCCACAATCCACACCAATTTGATCTCCCGATCCATCATTCTATGGAAACAAAGGTCACAATTTAGTGCCTTCGTGCCACTAAATTCAATGAACTTTCAGAAAGTCCTCACCTCATCTACCCTCTTGGAGCATTCCCATACTGTAGACTACTCTCTTCCCATGGCTTTGTGGTCCAACACACTCCTGATTTTTCTTTTTGCTCTGTGGCTCATTTGTAGACATTTACAAATGGATGTACAAATAATATCTCCAGTCCAGATTTTTTCCATTAAGATCCCAATTTCCCTTGTGGAATCTCTCGACTGTCTCAAAGGCATCTCAAAATGCAACATGTTCAGAGCCAAATTAATGGCTTTCCTCATAAAACCCAGTCTTTTTCCAGAGTTCCCTTTATAAACACATGGCGACCCCTCGGTCCAGACACCCGAGTCAGAAACCGAGGAGACAAGATTGTGCCCTCGCTTCCCCGCCTCCACACGCGGTTCCTCATCGTGTCCTCTGCCTCCCAAGTGTGTTCCCACTGCTCTCACCCACGTTCTGGTCCCCACGCTACCCCACCTCCTGCTCAGACACCGTAACAGCCTCCTAAGTGCTTGGCCAGAGCCACCTGGCCCGATCCAATCTCTTACCCACGCTATAGTCAGAGGCATCTTTTCAAAACACAAATCAGATCATGTTACTCTCTCTGCTAAAAACTTCAGTGGCTTCTCACTATTTTTAGGACACAGACAAAACGGCCTAGCACAACCAGCACGCCCCAACCTTGCCTCTCACCCCATGTCCTTCCCACCCTTCTCCCCACTGCAGCTGCATTATCCTCCTGTCTTATTCCAGCCCCTTTCCACTCACCATGTTCTTTCTGCCACAGGGCTTCTGCACATGCTATTTCTTCTTTTTGGATTGTTCTTCCACTCTTCAGCCAGTTAATGCCTATTCATCCTTCAAATACTAACTCAAGAAATATTTCCTTAAGGAAGCCTTTCCTAACCTAAGTTTAAAATACAAACAAACAAAAAGTCCCTACAATATAGGCTTTTAATAGAGGATGTCTTTGTAGTGCTCATCACAGTCATAATTTCATATTCGTGTGTTTGTTTTGTTTTAGATGCCTGTATTCATCTTAAATCGTAAGCAGGAGGTGTCTGCTCCCCACTGTATAACCAGCACTCGGCGATGCACAGAACATGGTGGATGCTCAATGTCCATTTAATGAACTAAGGACGTGAGGTGTGCCAGAGGCTGGAACACTCATCCAAGGAAAGCTAAATACACCATAAATTCTTTAGAACGCGGGCAGACTAGAGGGCCCTTCAGCTGCTACCCACACTCGTGTTTTTGATGTGACATTTGAGGTGAAGGGCAGTCTGCAGGGCCAGCATGCCTGGCTTCACCACTTACTAGCTGGGTGGCTGTCATGGAACATCTCTGTGTCCCAGTCTTCTCACTGGCATAGAGTGTGAGGACTCAATGCATTAATGAGTTTAAAACACCAAGAACACAGCCTGCTGTAAAGTCAGTGCTATTTAAATATTAGGTATTCTTAGAATAGCAATAAACAATGAACAAGCCTAAACCAAAACTTGGTATTCTAGACGGACCCAGAGCAACCTGAGGAAAATACTGATACAAACCAAAGAATCAGCATTTAATACCTGAGTTGCGGTCAAACCCAGCTGCCCCACTGCTTCTCTGGTAGGACACATCCAGCTCTCACTATCAATTCCCCATTTCTGAACGTCTGAGGTGCACTGAGCCTAGCTCAAGTTTCAAAATGTGCATAAGGACTTTCACTTGAGATTCTTTCAAGTAGAGGAATATCCAGTTCCACTTTGTTAGAAACCAGTAACTAAAACATGCAGAAGGAACACTCATTCCCGGTTGTACAGGGCCTCAGAGCCACCATCAGATACCTCTTCCAGATTCTGAGGGTGGGGCTCCCTCCGGCCACGTCATCCCTACTGAGCAGCCACTGCTCGCTTTTCCTGAGGCCCTCAGAGCTGCCTTACGGTAGGGCACTTACACTGAAGTCTGTCTTCCTTGCCAGGCAATGGTATAGAACATAGAGCGAGAGAAGTTGGGTGGAAGGTACTTCAAAGGCTTCTTGCTTCATGATCTCAAAAACCACGGATAAAGCATCTGCAAGAAGATCAAAGTAAAAAAGAAAGGAAGTTTTAGGTAACATCACCAAATCTGTATTTAACTGTAAAAATTCTTAAAAAGTGGGGCATGAGGGGGCCAGCCTGGTGGCGTAGCAGTTAAGTTCGAGCGCTCCACTTCGGCAGCCCAGGGTTCGCAGGTTCAGATCCAGGTGCGGACCTACACACTGCTGATCAAAGCCATGCTGCAGTGGCATCTCATATACAGTAGAGGAAGATGGGCACGGATGTCAGCCCAGGGCCAATCTTCCTCAGCAAAGAGAGGAGGAAAGGTAACAGATGTTAGCTCAGGGCTGATCTTCCTCAAAACAAAAGTAGGGCGTGATAGAAAAATCAACAGAATTAAAAAGTAGACAACGTGGGCTCTGGTCCCAGTTCTTCCACAAACTAGGGCTCCTCCAGCCTTCAGCCTCTACTGGACCTGCCATGATGTACTGAACCAGGTGCTACTGCACCAGTGTCCTCCAAGACATCAATAAACCACTTAATTCCTCCCAGTATCATCTTCATAATAATGATAAAACACCATTTGTCCCATCTATTTCAAAAGATGTTTGGACAGTCCAATGAGATAATACATATGAAGATGGCTCATAAACTGTGAAGCAAGTTGAAGGCATCATGTCCACCAGCTAGAAGAGCTATGGCATATAGAAAGGAGGCAAATCTATTTTCCAGGTCACCCTGGCAAGCAGAGCAGAGGCTGGGCTGACTGCCCCATTCTGTGTTCTGGAACCTTCTCCCTGTTTGGACAAAAGAGGATAAATGCTAGACACAATCCTAAATGTCACGTATTATTTCAAAGACAGAAACCTGATGACTATAAAAAGGACAACCAGGCTGAGCTTAAAAGACGTGAAAGAATGGACAGGAAAATGCTCATTCATAGATTATAAGCCCTGAGTGTAACTCACAATGTGAGACATTTATTTCCAAACGAATGCTGATCACAGGAGATCAGACCTCGAGCAACTTTTATTTTCCCCCAATATTCCACAACACAGATGGAAGCCAAGAAAATCAAGTTCAAACGATTTCCTTCCCTTCATATTTGCTGTTAAATTAGAGAGTGTTAGTTTTGGTTTAAAATACGGTACCTGCACATAACACAGGCATCACAAATGTTTCTGACTGAGTTGCTGCGTTAACCAATTTTTGCATTTACCCATAATTGTCAGAGTTGGCACTGATTTGCAGCTGTTCCTAGCCAGCTGGTTTTGCACATGTCGTCATGGTTCTGAAGGAGGCCAGAGGCAAGAATTTCTGTATTCTTTTTGCAAATGGGGAATGTGAGACAGACAGGCAGACCACGAAGTCATCTAGTAAGTGAGTAGCAAAATAAGGACTTGGAAGAGATTAACAAAAAAACCCCAAATAACCAATATTTTAAAAGAACACAATTACAGCAAAAAATCCAGTTTAAACAAAATAGTTTTCCCACCTGTTCATTACTGAATCCAAAATTACACAAGAAAGATAAATCAAATTTACTTTAACTTTTATTTACATTCTGCATTTCAGTCAGCTTGGGAAGTAAAATTAGGTTGGCCTGTATAATTAATTTACTTTTCCTCCATAATTATTTATTATTTGATATTTCCTATCCTAACAACAATAAAAAAAAATTTTCTAAATTTTGCTATAAACGATAATAATCATTAAAACTTTATTTTAAAAAATCTTCAATATTATTTATTCTGCATTTAGAAAAAACAACAACAACAAAACTCCTTTGACTCTCCAACATATCCTTTAAAGAGACTGAGGGAGAAAACTAATAATACATGATTTTCCAATGACACAGTAATATGGATTCTTAAATCTGATGTTCACAGAGAATAGATTATGAAACGTGTAGGCTAATTATCTTTTAGTTGAATTCAGGAAATGCATATTTAAAACTGTGTTTAAGAAACGGACAACAAGGGATAATTAACATTTCAAAAAATAACATACAGCAAATACTCTTTGGCAGTCGGCGCCTGCAAGCCTTACGGGAAGAAGATGAGGCAGAGGTCCAGAAAAGAGAAGCAGAGGTGCCACCCCACGTGCAGAAACGCCCGTCCCAGCCTGAGCACTGACCACAGATGCACGGGGAAAGGCCGAGGGGGCTGGCGTGCAGGGAGGAGGGAACAGAGCTCAAGGGCAGGAATCAGAGATGTCATAAATGCGCCAGTAACCACCAGCTCATTCCTATCTCTGAGGCAGTTAACTATCCGACACGGGCACAGGCCCCTTGTGCTCCTCAGCACCAAGCCTGAGGATGAGACGGTGGTGGCGGAAAGCCAGTGTGCGTCCTCACACGATGGCAAGGCCTCCTCCTCCCCTCTTCCCCAACATCCCCCCCTCCTCCCTTCTTCACCAACTCGGCTGCAAGCACAAGCGGGCTCTGCTCTGACCCCCTGTCCACTGCAGACTGGCAGGGTTCCGCCTGACTGCTCCGGAGAGGCTGCTGTAATCCCCGTCTTTCCTTGGCCTCCCTACTGCAGCTGAAGCTAAGTGTCACCTTAAATTAATTTCACAGGATCAGAGAATTTTGGGGGTAGAGATCTCAGAGATCAGCGATCTACTTATTTTACAGATAAGGAAACAAAAGCCTGGGGGTTGAAATGACCTTCCTTCAAAGCAAGGGCACTGCTCTTTCCCGGAAAAGTCAGTTGATTTTATGGTTTGACATTTTACATGCTACAACAGCTATGATTTAAATAAAACAAAGTTAGCAAGTGGTGCCAAAGGAAGTCAAGCTAATAAGTGCCTTACTGTAATCTTAACCAGGCGTGGAAGCTCAGGCAGGTTACTGCTTAACTAAAGCCATTGTCCTTTGCCTACAGAGACGTGAACAAATAAACTTGAGAAACTCAGGGGAAAAAAACCCCGGATATGATTCTCCCATCTGGCCAAGTGGTTTGGTAAATCAACCTCACATCTATTTCTGACCGAAAGAGTGATATAAAGAGACGTTATTAAGAAATAAAAAAGGGAAAGTGCCTATATTACTTCCCTTTGGGAGCTGAAGCTCCACTGTAAATAGACCTGGGTTTGGTTTCTTACCTTTGTAATTTTCTTGCTTTATGAAATAATCCATCAGTAAATTGAATGTAAAGTTATCTGGAAAAACTCCATATTGAACCTGTAATGAAAAGGAAAATAAGAGAAAAACAGCCACCGATTTCAGTTCATACTATATGCCTATATATTATTCAGGATGAAACCTGCCACCATCAGCTTTAAAATATTTGACTATCATTTTACAGCATCTGAGACAGTGAAACAGAAGCTGTGACTCATGAAGTTTGTAATCGGAACTGTTGGTCAGGGTGAGAAAGTTGTGAGTGGGTGTCTGGCATAAGACAACTGATACGTGAAAAATATAGCTCAATTCTAACACCTCATCATGGCTAAAAAAAACCCCAAACCAAACCAAGACAACAAAAAACCACCACGTGCTCCACTGGTTCAGCGATTCTTTTTGTAAGGTGTGAATATCAACACAAAAATGGACTCCGATGAGAAAGCACACATTTTCACACCATGTAGCATTTCTGGCCCTTAGAGTGTTTTTTGCCCAACTTTACTGAGATAAAATTGACATATAACACCGTGTAAGTTTAAGGTATACACCAGGATGATTTAATACACGTGTACATTGCAAAACGATTACCACAATAGGGTTAGTTAACACATCCATCACCTCACGTAATTATACTTTTTTTGTGGTGGTGGTGGTGGGGAGAATGTGTAAGATCTACTCTCTCAGCAACTCTCAAATCTACAATACAGTAATGTTAACTATAGTCACCATGCTGTACATTAGATCCTCAGAACTTATCCATCTTACAACGGGAAGTTTGTACCCTTTGACCAACATCTCCCCATTTCCCCCTCCCTTAGCCCCTGGCATCCACCATTCTACACTGTTTCTATGAGTTCAGCTTTTTTAGATTCCACATATTAGTGAGACCACAGGGTATTTGTCTTTCTCTCACTGACTTATTTCACTTAGCATAACGCCCTTAAGGTTCGTCCATGTTGTCACAAATGGTGGGATCTCCTTTTTACGGCTGAATAATATTCCATTGTGTATATATACCACATTTTCTTTATCCATTCATCCATCACTGGACACTCAGATTGTTTCTGTATCTTGGCTATTGTGAATTATGCTGCAATGAACACAGGAGTGCAGACATCTCTTTGAGACAGTGATTTCATTTCCTTAGAATATATACCCAGAAGTGGGATTGCTGGATCCTACGGTAGTTCTATTTTTAATTTTTTGAGGAACTTCCATGATTCCCATAGTGGCTGCACCATTTACATTCCCACCAATCGTGCACAAGGGTTCCCTTTTCTCCATATCCTCACCAGGACTTGTTATCTCTTGTCTCTCAGACTGGTTTTTAAAGACCCAAGAAATATGCCAACAAAATATTACTAACCAAGTTCCTGGGACGTTCTGTCCACAAGTAGCTGAGTATCTGAGAATCAAGACTTCTCAAAATGGGGGCCCTTTAGCATCTGCCTCAGAAATTTCCAGGAAGGTTTTTAACACTGCAGATTCCCAACCCTCAGACTTATAGAATTGGAATCTCCAGGAACGGGGCACAGGAACCTGAAGTTTTAGTGAGCTTCCCATGCGATTTTAGCTCACAATCAAGTTTGACTACTAATGATCTAGCTTGCGGTTATATTTTTGTTTGTTTTCTTACTTCAGTGTGATTAACCACCCCCCCACACACACCGCCCCATTCTTCCCCAAAAACCACAGAAACCCCTGAGGAATTCTTCCAAACTCTACTCCCTTGAGAGACTGATTGTCCTAATGGCCAGCTTCGAATCACAGCTGAATGAGTCACTGCCACTAGGAGGCTATACGGGATGCCTCAGAGGTGCCTCAGAGGTGCCGAAACGGAAACAAGCGGAGAAGCCATTGTTTCCAAAAGCTCATGGGCAGTGTCTATATTTCTTAAAGCAGTCCTCCAAATCAGCACTGATCCCTAGGGGCAGGGTGAAAACAAACTATTTTAGAATGACACATCACTAAAGCTGGAAGGAACCTTAGAAATCAACTGTCAGTGACTCTCAACCCTGGCTGCACATTAGAACCAACGTGGGAGCTTTAAAAAGATACCAATGAGGGATGAATAGGTGGGCACAGAGGATTTTCATGCAGTGAAACTACTCTGTGTGATGCTATAATGGTGGACATGTGTCATGATCCATTTGTCCAAACCCACAGAATGTACAGCAACAACAGTGAACCCTGATGTAAACTATGGACTTGGGTGATGATGACGTGTCCATGCAGGTTCATCAATTGTAACAAATGTACCATCTGGTGATTGATGTTGATAATGGCGGAGGCTGTGCCTGTGTGGGGACAGGGAGCATATGGAAACTCTCTGCACCTTCTGCTCAATTTTTCCATGAACCTAAAACTGCTCTAAAAAAGTCTATTTAAAAAAGATTTTAAAAACCTATTTAAAAAAATACCAATGCCTGGGCTCCAGGAAGATCAATTAAATTAGAATCTTGGGGGTGGAGAAAAACACCTATAATCTTAAAAGCTTCTTGTGTGATTCTAACGGCAGCCAAGGTTGGAAATTACTGATTTAGTACAACTCACTTGACTCAGAGTTGAAAAAACTAAAACCTAGAAGGATAAAATTATTTGCATGAATTTACAGGCAATTGGTGGAACTTATGGGGTTACAGCCTGGATCTTCTGACTCCTTGTCCAGGGTTCTTTCTATTAAAAGACTAGGAGCAGCAGAAAATGAGATAGACTTTTCTGCCTTTCTAGACCCTTCTTCTTTTGTTTTCATAGGAATCTTCTTCTTTGAGTATAATCTGTGTCTTTAAAGTCTGAACTGAAGAGAGCAGGATTTAATCCACTCCTTCCCCTGGGGCCTAATATTAGATGTATCTGTGAACCTGCTTATTTGCCTGATTAAATTAGCTTAAGCTTCCTGAGGGCAAGGATAGGACATTATTCATTTTTGTAGACAATGTCATACCCAATGCAATGGCTCACACACAAACTGCCTGCAATGTATATTAAGTTGAACTGGGCCCAAGTCAAGGGAGCAAAAACTTCCCAAAACAAAATTAGTATTTCCTTTTCAGTTATAACATACAAGGTCCAGTGACACTATCGAAATAGTACATTTTCATAAAAATACTGTTAAAATCTTTGTATGGGTCAAACTAGTGTTGTAGCTTGAGACTCACAATAATAACATTCTAAATTTTCTTATTTTGTACTTTCTTTCCTACTATGAAGGTAATGAAGACTCAACCCTTGGGTGGAGTGTAGCATTCAGAAAGACCCTAATCATAGGGGGCTCTGGGGCTGAAGAAGAGGAGTCAGGGAATTCAGAAGACATGTTTTGAGTCACCTAGGAATACTGTCTTTTTAAAAGTGTGTAAGATAGACTGAATAATCTGGAAATCACATTCTAGCAAAACGGTCATGTCTTTTTCCCTAACCTTCACCAAAGGGAACCAGGCAAGAAACGCAAGGCTTGGGGATCAAGAATGAAATGAGTTCTTGGGACTGGATTCCCTTTCGCTTTTACCTGTCTAGTTCTGAGTCACTATGCTTGGAAAAGCAGCAGCTACACGAATTTTTATTTTTAATGTGTTGATTAATTTATATCCAGCTCCATTCTAAAAAGGATATCTGAGAACAAAGAATATTTAGAAGTTATTTCTTGTACTATTCTTTGCTGTACCGTAAAGGCTACAAACACCACATCATCTAAACTCAGAACAAGCCACAAATGCCAGGAAACCACCCACCTTATTTACAAGGGTGTATAAGGCTTTGTCTTGTGCACCGTATTTCAGACACTGCCTGACCCACGTGTGGATGGTCCAGTCTCTCAGGTACCAGCAGTTGGGGCTGTGTCGAAATCTAAATAAAGCAAAAGAAGAGGGAAAACTGGTGTTAACTCTTAACCATCAACATAGCAGCACATCTTCCATCAGCAGGTCCTTCCTTAGGGATTTCCAGACGCGCAATGTAACCAAAAGTCATAAAAGCCAACAGCTGATAAAAACTTGAGGCTAAAACTCATTAACTATAAAGTCTGAAATGCGCAAGAGAAGGCAAAATAATAATAAATAACGAACAAAAATATCATAAAAAATTTTATTCCTTATTTAATACCCCTTAATTCAACATCTTGTTTTAACATGAGATTTATGAAAAATGATTTGGGGAAAATGCTCTACTAACCATGGCGTTATGTAATACATATTTCATTAGGAGAGAGATGTGAAGCTGGAGCTGACACTTCAGAAGTTTAAAATAAAGCAGACGAGACAAAAATGGAAAACAGAACAGCACAGCAACTCGGGGGGAAATCAGCTTTGAGTTATACTGATATTTCTGTAGCACTCAGGAGAGACCGAGACACTTCACTGAACCACAAGAAAACAAAAAAGAGAAAATAAACAAAAATGGAGTAAAATCGAACACTCAGGTCCTCCGGATCCACAACGCCGCTGCCTCTTGCACAGCTCACTCTAGCTCCTCAGTCTCCCTCCTCGTGCTTCCTGCTGCTCCTGTGTGGTTTTAAAGGCCCCAGCAGCGCCAGCCGACGAGTAGATGGTGAGCGTTTTCCCACAAAGGAGCAGACTGGAAAGGAATCCCGATGCTCTCTTGCTGGGGTTCTCGCACATGCTGACCCCTGGGTGGAGTGGAGTGGCTTCTCCTTGCTGCTGGGAGGCGGTCCACGCCACAAGACTGAGCGCGGCAGGGACGGGGCCTGCGGAGGCTGCAGGGGGCGCTCTGCAGTCCTCTGTTTATCTGTTTTGACTGGGACGGTTCCTCAAACAGCACATGATGTCAGCTGAAGTCCTTATCTTTTCTTTAACCATTCAGAAAGCACGTCAATCTCTTCGCCCCACAAAAATCAAACAGTTTTCTTAAAAACAAAAAGGCAAGACAAAAACTTGGAGAGAAAGGATTTTGTGCCATGTTTTGAGAGTCGGGGCTACAGGCCAACAGCAGTGCCTCCCAGAGGCTGGTTACTCCATCCGCCACCTGCTGTTTGCTGCCATCTGCTAGCGGGACAGTGTTCTGCTGAACAGGTTCTCTGCCAAAGAAAGAGCTGAGAAAAAGAGAGGGAGTGAGCAGCAGTATTTAATTTAGGCTACTTATTAGTGGTCTGGCGAGAGATTTGGCAAAAATAAGACCTGAAGATGTTTTAAGCATTTAGAGTCACCTCACCCTTTCCAGTCTTTTGAATATCTTAGGTTTGGCTGGAAAATGTCTCTCTCACTCTATTTTTCTCTACAGAATTAACCCTTTAAAAGCAGAAAGATAGAAACATGTCATATTATGTTCAGGATCCGAGTGACCTGCCAGAGAAGGCACTGCACAGGCGCCTGGGGTTCCTAGATCCACTGAGATCTCCCGCACAGAAATCAAACAAAACATGTCTTATTATTTCATGCTTTCTCTCACATTAAAATCAATAGCTGAACTACTTGAGCTTCTCTCGTCACTGAAAAATCTGAGATCTCAAGTGTAACAGCCAATTAAAAGTTAATTTTATTTTTTCAAGAAAAAGGTCAAGTGAAATACCAGATTTATTCCTAGCCGGTGTGATGCTTCCCAGCTGGCCTGTGAGCCCCCGGGGCAGGGAGAGCCCGTGGCAGACTGTCAGCACCCACTCCCTGGAGCCCAACACAGCTCATGGCCCACCACAGGAGCCCGACACGACACGGCCCGAGGCCCACAGGAGGTTTTCAGCAAATAAAAGAAGAGCTTTAATCAACACACGTATTAATGCTATTCTGTACCAATTGTGTTGTTAACAACCATGGTATTTACGAAGGTAAATTCCCTGTCTGGGGCATTTATAATCTTATTACAAAAACAAAAAGCACACAAACAGTTTAACAACAATACAGGGTGGGACGTGACAAGTGCTAAAGACACAAAAGCCACCGCGGGTGGCTTAGAGGTGTTTTCGGTTGTTAGGTTCAGTGCATTTTTCCTTTAAAAACAAACAAACAAAAATTAAAAATGTCAATTACCTCCTTTACTCAAGATTATTTACACCTAACCCTCATTTTAAATCTAACCTTCTGCCCACTGACATTATGACTTTTCTTTTTGATGGACTTTCAAATACAAGCCTAGGGACCACATCCAACCAAAGGCCCCCTTCTCTCATCTGTGGTCAGTAGAGTATCTCTGGGCTTTGAAGAAGAATGACAATGACTGACAGGACCCAGCCACGGACCTTCAAAGTGCAAACTGAAGTTTGTTGCAAGCCATTTGCTAACCTTCTGAGGCTGACTGCCACACCTGGAGGGGCAGAAGTCTCCTCACACTCTCTCTCTCAGAAGACTGAAGAGAATGGAACTCAGGACTGCACACATTTGAGAGATTTGTCAACAGACTCACAGGGGTCGTTAGCAGGTTCTCTCCCCCTCCCATCCTGGAACAGGGTTACCTGGTGCAATCTCTGCCGCCTGAGACCTAGAAATCCAGATTCACAACCACAACTAGGACATTTTCAACTAAGTGACAACATTAAATCAATTTAGGAATATGAGGGAAACACACATTATGAATATGCTGCCCAAAGTACCCCATCGGTGTCAAAAAAGAAATTAGCACACAACTTATGTGAGTAGTGATCTAGAATATAAGCAACTCGAAACATTGAGATAGTAGGGTCCAAATCTGGAGGGTGAGTTTGAGAGGAATTCTTCCGTCAATGACTCTTTAAGCAGATCCGATAGATCAATGTGGGCCCTTTTCAGAACTGCCAGCGGTGATATGACAGCAGGTGAGTCTGGGGAGGGTACTTGCCTGGAATGAGTCTGGGGACGCTGGACCAGCATTCTCCCTTTCAGCCAGGAGAAAGGCAAGGGGACAAGAAGACAACTAACACGTTGATTTTCCAATCTGCCTGCAGACAGACTGGCTTTGTTCTCGCCTGCTCTGACCCTCTGACCCTCTGACCACCAGCCTGGCAGACTACAGGCGCCCACTGTAGGAGTCCCCGCTGTGCCCCATGCCATCAGCTGTTTGTGCACCTCGACAGAAGCTTTATTATTGTCCAGGCCAGCAGGCTGCCAAGCTCGGCAAACCGTGTGAGTGTGGAAAAGACAAACAATGCAACCCAACAATGCTTGTGCTCTGAAGGCGAGACATGCTGAGCTCCCAGCTTAGAAAACAGAAGTAAACGTACAAGACATGAGTATTTCCTGGGGGAAGGAGGAGAGAAGGGAGAAGTGCGCTCTCAAGCTCTTAGCTCGAGTTCTAAAGCTGGTACCCTGGGCTGAAGAGCTCTCTGTCCCCAGTGCTAAGGGGGGCTTCCAGGAGAAGAGAGAACTTGCCGAGGAAGCCAATTCACGGCCAATCAGATGGCAGGAATGGAAAAGCTTTCTCTCCTCAAAAATCAGGACTCTATTGCTCATTACTCAGGACTCTCCAGGGCATTCACCTGCACCACTGCTCATTCAAGACTGATGTCACCAAGGAGGGCAAGCAGAAATCACAGGCTGCAAAACGGACCTGGGGCAAAAGTCTTAGAGATTTCTTAGAAGGGAAGAGAGGTTACGTCAAAAGCAAGAGTGAACAGAAACACACCAGAGACTCACTATAATTATACAGAAGATACTTTCCTCTATGTAAAAGAGTCACACAGGATTTCCTATTTGTGATCAATTTCATCATTTCCTTGAAAAAAATAAAAGTGGGACACAGCCTGCCCTCCAGGGGATTCAAATAAAGGTCACTGTGGAAGGCGAGGGTGGCCGTGCATCAGGCCTCTCGGGACCAGACAGAGGCACTGCTGGCTGAGCAGGGCTCAGGCACGGATGCGGAGCCTGGAGCTCCGGGCCCACCACTCAGCGGGCGCAGCTCTTCCAGATGAATGAGCAAGCTTCCCAGCACGTTCATCTGATCCTGAGAGCCCCCACCCTGAACACACACAAGCGCTCCCTCCTCCCTAGTGACTGCTGTGTCCTGTGACAACAGGCTCTACAGCCGGAGACCTCAGCCCCGAGCCGGGCAGACATGGAGACAGCGAGGGGCCGAGTAAAGGGGAAAAGAAAGAACGCCGAGAAGAAAACACAGCTGGCTCCCAAGCCTGTGGTGTGAACCGGGAATCCTGTCAAGAAAGTGAAGTGTGTAATTATGAAAAGGTTTACACGCTTCCCTGAACTAGAAGCAAAGAGCAAGAGGGCATTATGTGACTAAACAGAACCTGATTCAGTCACCGCCACCCACTTTCTCATTCTAACAGGAAAATTACTTTCTTTTGCATCTTGCTGGAAATTCTGCTTTCCTCAATTATTAGTTGCCCCCAATGACCACAAATAGAATCAGACTTTGTTAACATAATTTCCTAATGACTATTGTATTTTTGTCACGTGTTTACAAAAGGGGGCTGAGTCTAAGAGAGGAGCTGATCATAAAGACACCATTATGTGGATGAAAACCTCCTTCCCGCCTCAGAGCCCAGACTCTCACTCTGACAGGAAGGTCAGCTAACGTGACGTCCACAAGCACATCCTAAGTGTGCGCCAGGTGAGCTCCAGAGCAAAAGCCCCGGAACACGGCCCTCTAGCGGTCAGTCAGGTGGGCCTGACCAGTGCGTGCAGATCTACCTCAGGAGACAGACACAAATGTCTTTCTTTAAAAGTTCTAATATTGTTTTCTTTTTCTTTGTTGTGAGGAAGATTCTCCCTGGGCTTACATCTGTGCCCGTCTTCCTCTATTTTGTATGTGGGTCGCTGCCACAGCACGGCTGACGAGTGGTGCAGGTCCCCACCTGGGATCCGAACCCACGAACCCTAGGCTGCCGGAGCTGAGCACACGAACTTAACCACTACGCCACCAGGCTGGCCTCCACTTTTTTCTTTTTTAAAAGACAGGTTTATAGACAT